ATAAAAAATGATATTTCAAAAGGTGGGCCCGGATAACTTCCATCCTGCCAGAGTTACAGTTCCTTAAACGTTGAAAATCCATGCACAATATAGAATTATACACTATATGGAAGTTCACTGTATAGGGAGTCAATTAACATTATAGGTATACAGTGGCCGCAAAATCAATATATTTCGTCCACTATAAGGAGAGTTTACTATAAGGAGAATTACTATATGGAAAGTGCACTGTATTAAGACAATACGAGTGAATAGGTTGCAGATTAATATCTGTTGCTATAATAACACAATCTATTTGTGAACAACAATTGCATTCATTTATTACAATACTGTTCAGTAAATTAATAAAATTAGTTTTAAATATAATTAATTTAATAAAAGATTATTTTTATTAAGTATTAATATAAGTATTACACAATTATTTTATTTTTTGTGATTCCTAACAGAAACTAATTAATTATAATTAATGTGATAAATAATTGTTTATCACATTAACATACAATAAAGTACTTTTACAATTAATCCAAATTTAAATTTGTTTGAATTTGAAAATGTGCTCAATTTTAGAGAAATTTGAAATTTGTGATAAAATTGACTCAAATATGAAACAAAAAATTAAATTATTTCATGTTTTTTATTCTGGGTTTACATTTAATGTAATACTAAATAATATACTGTTCATAACCACCGATGATATGGTGTATGGGTTGGGGGATAATGTTAATGGTTGTCTAGGCTTAGGTCACAAGGAGTCCATTATATCACCACAACATATACTAAAATTATGTCATCAAACGATTCATACATTTATTATTGGATATGACTTTGTGTTGGCTATGAATACTGTGAATCATGTCTATAGTTGGGGTCACAACTGGTTGGGACAGTTGGGTAGAGATGTGACACCAAAAGGGGTTTATTTAAAACCCGAGAGAATATCGTATTTCGACGACAAAGTTGTCCAACAAATCAGTTGTGGTTCCTTCCACTCACTGGCCCTCACATCCAGTGGACAGGTGTATGGGTGGGGGTCAAATTGTAATGGACAGATTGGTTGTGGAGATAAACAAAATAATAGTATTAGTGAACCAATTCTAATACAATTCTCAAATAATCTCAAAATACAAACAATTTATTGCAATTATTCGTGCTCATTTGCCATCACTTATGACGGGCTTGTGTACAGTTGGGGTGATAATCGTAGCCATCAATTGGGACACAATATAGTGAATAACCGTATATTTAGTCCTAAACTGATATCTACTATAAATGACATCAAAACTATTACTTCAACACATTATATGACTTATTTTCTATCAAAAAGTGGTTTACTATATTTTTGTGGACATTATTATTCCAGTTATAAAACTATTACTGTAATGATACCAGTACAATTGAAAACAAGCTATTCTTTTATAGATTTACCACAAATTGACTCGTTTTACTATTATTCTCATAATCAACCCACAGTTGTGTTGACAAACAGCAAGTTATATGAAATAAGGGGAAATCAATTGATTGAAACAAGTTACAATAATTTTATTGATTTCTACGCTAATGAATGCCAAATCACATACAAAACATTTATTGATTATAAATGTTGTTTTAATGAATGTTACGATAAAACATTTGATGAGTTGAGAGTAATAGGATCGGGTGGTTTTGGGACAGTATTGCGAGTAATACACAAATTTGATGGACGGGTATTTGCCGTCAAACGTATTAAATTTAATGGTAATATTAAATTATTATAAATAAATTAATTATAAATAAATAGTTAGAAAACATTTGTATTAAAAATCATATTTTTAAACAGATTTTGATGACAAAGAAACGGAAAATGTATTAAAAGAAGTAAAGAATTTGGAAAAAGTTAAGTCTGAATATGTGGTCCAATATTACCACTCATGGCGTGAAACCGGATGTCTTTACATACAAATGGAGTTCTGTTCCCATAATCTGCAGAATATTCTTGAAGTAAAACCACAAGTATTTGGTCGACAATCGGGAGATCCAATGAATTTATACGAGTATTTCATTTCGTGTGAAATATTCCGTCAGATCTTAGAATGCGTTCAATATTTACATGAATTGAAGCCACAGATCATTCATAGAGACCTCAAACCCGACAATATATTGATTGCACACAACGTAACGAAAGGCAGGTTTTTGAAGTTATGTGACTTCGGTTTGGCTACAGTTCACGACAAACGTGTTCACTACAGGACTACACACAGACATACGGCAGATGTCGGGGACTTAAGATATATGGCACCTGAAATTGGTCAAGGTGAAAAATATGGTCATAAATCTGATATTTATAGTCTCGCACTAATTGGTGGTAAAATATTTGATGTCAAAGTCACATTCATTGAACCAAATAAGTTAAGGTAACGTAATGTGATGTAAAACAACATTATATACTGTATTATTCACAAATTAAATTTTAAAATATTGTAATTTTTATTATGATATAGATCCCTTATATACTCACCAGGTAAAATTGTAAATTCACCAGTGCTAAAATTATACAAACTATTATCAACAATGATTTTACTGAATTGGAATCGTAGGCCGGAATGCAGTAAAGTGTTGCAGAAATATAACGAGTGGTCTATCGATAGGAATATTTTTATAAATAATACAGAATTTGAGTCCACATTAAATAGACTGAAATCCAATGAAAACATATTTTTCTATCAATTCTTATCAACTGTTATCAAACGAGATGTGAAACCACTTTCAAAGACCAAAAAACTACGAAAAAGTTAAAACTATTTTCAAAATAAAATACAAATCAATAATTTTATGGCATACGTAATTGTGTGGTTTATTTCTATAATTGTGTTATAAATAATTTCCAAACTTTATTCACTGAATTTGTTCAAAAATTGTATAAATCTAATGCAAACCTAATAGTTTAGTTTATTAAAATAATCAAGTTTCAAATAAAATCCTAAACTATTAAATCGGAAGCATCGTGAAGTGAAAGTAAATTGAGTGGTTATGATTGCCATGATTAGTTAGCCAATAACATAATTAAAATTTTGAATTGACTAAAATTGGCGAATCAAGTAAATTATCTTGTTAAATTCACGTTCAACCAACACTGGCATCCTCATTTTGTCATTGAAATGACATAAATTCTATGGATTCCACATAAAATGAATGTTAACTGCTATGTGCCGTCAAATATAACATAATTGCAGAAACGATTACCAATATATGAACACAAATTACTAGTATAACATTGTATTCAATTAAATTTAATGTTATTTCCATGACAAAATGAGGATGCCAGTGATGGTTGAACGTGAATTTAACAAGATAATTTACTTGATTCGCCAATTTTAGTAAATTCAAAATTTTAATTATGTTATTGGCTAACTAATCATGGCAATCATAACCACTCAATTTACTTTCACTTCACGATGCTTCTGATTAAATATAAGTGTAATTTATAACTGTGAACTTAATAAAAATGTTTTATATAATGTTAATTATTTAATCATATTAAGTATTTGTTCCTAAATATTGAAATATAAAATATTCTCAAATTTTTTGAATTTTATATACTTTTAGTATATTTGACGTAAATTCTGGATTCTGTGGTGGAATCTGTGAATCGGAATCATTGAATGTCATCATAAAATCACGATTCTTGCGATTCTATTCATTCAAAATGTTTGTAAATTAAATATTTTATAATGTCATAAATTATTGAATGTATTTTCAAATAATAATATTATAAATGAATTGTAGTAAAAAAATATTTAAACACAAATGACTGATAAAAAACTATTTTAACCTAAATGTTTTTATATAAGGTATACAAAAATCGCTGAAACAAAATGCAATTCTTAATCCTTTGGGTAGAGTTTGAGATAAAATACTTATACACTATTAGAGACCAAATAAAAATAAACTTATAAAAAATCAATTATAATTACATAACACAAATTGAATTATTTGATAATTACAAATTAAATGCAATTTATAATCGTATTTCAAGTCTTTAAAGATAAGCTGAAATACTTTATTATAATTAAACCGAAAGGATTTAATAACAATTAACGTGTACTTAATATAATAGTGATATAACTTATGGCCTATTTATAAGAATTGTCTCAAAACTTATCCCACATTATAATAAATTTCATTCATCGAAATGTTTACAACTTTTTTGGTGAATTTTTGTGAACAAAGTTCAATCATCTCGAAAAAGTCTACAAAATATTCCTTTAAATTAAACTCAATATAAATAAATTTTTTGCATTTCATACTTTTATACTTATCATACTATTACCACTTAACTCTAACCAGACAACTATACAATACAGAACAGAATACAATACAAATACTATAACGAGATTATGAGATAAATAAAGATATAATATTTTAAATGTCAAAACTCTAATGTAATGGGATTTTACTTGCTATGCTATACTTTATTACAATCTTTCAAAATTTCAAAATCTTTCAAAATTTATCTGTTGATATGATAAAAAATACAATGGTAATCATTATAAATAGCTAGTTGTTAAATAAAACAATATATATATAATATATGAAGAGAATACTTATCTTTGTTTGTAATGTGTTTTATGCATTGATATAATTAAATTTCTAAATCAATTAATTCATTAATTATAATAGCAATCATTTGTTAATTGTGTGTAAAATATGAGTTTAAATATGAGTGCAAACAAAAGCCCACTGTCCGAACATATAACCCCATCCATAGACACAGCCATCACTCGTAAGAGTCATTGTGTGATAATAACCACAACTTATTTGA